ATTGTTATTGTTATTGTTATTGTTATTGTTATTGTTATTGTTATTGTTATTGTTATTGTTATTGTTATTGTTATTGTTATTGTTATTGTTATTGTTATTGTTATTGTTATTGTTATTGTTATTGTTATTGTTATTGTTATTGTTATTGTTATTGTTATTGTTAATTATGCATTCCTATTAGATAGGTTTTTAGTTTAATGATCTTTCATTTATGCTTGATTTAATGAACCTTAAGAATTAGGTTCCAAGTGTGAGTATTTTTTATGAACAATTTAAACAAAAATACATGGGAAACATTCCTGAATGTAAAATTCAGCAAGAGAATTAGCAGGATTGAACCATCAGTTTGGAGAAAAAGAAAAGGAATGATTATATATATTCAGTTACAATTCGTACTACATCTTTATTCATATCCTTCTCCTATTTGATAATCATATGTTTGTGTATCCCCTTTTTGTGTCTGGTGCAAGGTTTCTTGTGTTGTGATATATCATTCAATATGGGTGGTAGATGTGAATCTAATAGGGGATCTGTATGCGAACTAATCCATACCGAGCAATCCATAATATAAAAGATCATGTATCGCTTGAAATGAAGTTTGTATTGGCTGAAAAAATAAAAATCCGACTATTATCGACTGTACAAGTTGGTAGAGGTTAGATTTCAATCGATACCAATCAATGGAGAGAATTATTTTAGTTTAAATGGTCCTTCAAGTTTTATCACCAAGGTAATAGAATAAGAAAAGAAAAATCCCCTCAATCAAAACAACAACGTGACAAAAGGAACCAAAGATATCTAGTGTCAGTCATTCACCTAATATGAAAGGCAATAGTAAAGTGGAAGCAGTAGCATCAATTATATTATTAGAAAGAATTAAGTCGTATGATTAGATACATTCTCAAATCATATTCAGTAAGTAGATATGATAGTGATATAGATAGTAATATCTTAATCGACAATGACAGTTATGCTGGGGAGTTGATTGTTTTATTTATATAGTTTGAGATTGGTGCATGGACCGAGGAATAGTATCTTAGGTATGTCATCCAAAATTTATATTATGAATCTGGACAAGGTATTGGTCAAATTTATATAGAGAAAAAGGAAGGGGGAAAGGAAAAGACAGTAAATGATTTTGTGGAAATGCGATAGAACCTATATGCCGTTTTGTGTTACTGTTTTCCTTTATGATACATTCTACTACTGCTTTGTTTTGTGTTAGTGTGACATTTCATCAAGTCCCTGTAGCTTCCATCCATCCATCCTAAAGCAGAAGAGCCTGCGACACTCCTCACCGTATCAATTCACTCTTCAAAATGCCTTGGTCATCATGAAGTATTACAGTCTTAATCATCCTTCAAACACTTGGAGAGTCAAGATATGCGAGTGTTCCTCAGTCAATATGAGCATCCAAAGGGTAGCTTTCCCAGCTCTTGGCATATTCTCAAACTCATGAATGAACTTGAAAGAAGGTCCACTCATATATTGAACTCCACAGGCTCATCATTCCCCCTCCCACCAACTGCTAAAGATTCCATTGTCCATCATTGTGTTCCTTTGTCTTAGGCCCTCATGATGCTTCTCCACCCTTGGTAAAGATTCAGTAAACAACTTGTAGCACTTTTCTAGTGAGTGTGAGGCTCCATTGACCGTGAGTTGTCCATGGAACGCCATGTACACACACAACCTAATCATCGGAAAGTAGAAGAGTACTTGCACATTCTCATCATAGAGATATAATTATGATATCAAGTGCAATCAAACGGAGTGAGCTTCTTCCTTTTTGCCCCCCTACTGCTCATACACCCTTCGTCTAAGGTTTAGATTCTCGAGTTTGTGAGATATTAATGTGATCTGCATGTCCTAACTTATAGATTCTCAAGCCATGATTAGATTCATCGTATATAGAGAGCGAATTTACGTAGAATATAAGCATGTTGATGTTGCCTTTCGTGGAATGAAATTATTATTATTATTATTATTTTTCTCTAATGGACAAAAAGACACATGCATGAACGAAGTATTGGTTTGGTCTTTCCATAGAAAGATCATGTACATGAGCTAGTGAGAGATGCATGCACATTAAGATCATGCATATGAGCCACTGGAGATGTATATAAAGTCTTCTCGTGATGTGCAAAACCATGGCTTCTATCTCAAAGCTTTGGTAGGAGAATAATGGATTAAATCATGGTCTGAGTATATAGGTTGCGATCAATTACTGTAGGGGAGTATTGTGTATATGAACTATGTCTAAATTCGATGGATGTGGGATCGTAAGCTACACATATAAATATTTCAAATGTTTGAATTCAATTTAATTAGCTCATAATGAAAATATTCTTAGAAAGATTATTTTGTGTAGTATTGGTTTTATAAATATCAAATGATTTGATAGAAAAAGATGTTAGTTTTCCTATGTTTCGACTAGTAAGCAAAAATATTTTTTGCAGGACACATATTATTGTCATATGTTCTCTATTCCTTTTTTTCATGTATTACTATGCAATATATATATATATATATATATATAAAGATTTTGTGTGTAGAGCAAAATTTGTCCCTTTTCTTATTGTTTTTTGGTCATCTCAACTTCACAACGAAGGATTTTAAATGCAGCCTTTTATGTTTGGAGGGCACTTGAAACAACACCACAAACAGATTTCCGTCGAAGCACAACTGCCTGCTGCTGCGAAGGACGTGTGAAGCAGAGGTCTTTGGTCGTGTTGTTCCAACTGCCCTCCCAACAGAAAAAGCTGCGTTTAAAGTTGTGTCCGTGATGACGCTATCTTTATTCCACGACGCCGATGCCGGTAATGCAGGGAGGCGAGGGGGACTCCAGGGAAGTGGAACGCCCTCGGCTTCTTCGTCCGGTAACGGTGGGCCGTGATTCCCCTTCTCTCTCTCTCTCTCTCTCTCTGTCTTGACGGCTTACCCTGCTTGTTTTCGTGCCCGTCGCTGTTGTTCTTGATGGTTAGAACTTCTTTTTGCCTATGATCCTTTTGCTACGAAGGATCTTGAATCGTTGCTTTGTTCTTCTGGTTTTCTCCTTCTCATGCTTCTTTATGATCGATCAAGGATCTTGAACCGCTGCTTTGTTCTTCCGGTTTTCTCGTTCTGATGCTTCTTCATGATCGATC